AGGCAGGGCTTGACAGAGTTTTGAGCCAATCTTGTACAACACGGTTCTGCCACTCTTAAACAGGCAACATCTGTGCCTCTGCTAAAGAGCAGCCTCCAGACCAAGCCAAGCATTGAATGCTCCTCCTTTTTCTGCTGTCCACTCGCAATCAGCCATCAGATTACCTGCTGTCTGCCTTCCCCTTGCCAGCACTCGTGTAGCTTGATGGCGTGCTAACAGACAGTAGTGACCATGAAGAATGCCTGTCTAAAACCTTCCCCATGCTTTTCTCTGCGTCCACTGAACTGTGACATTACGTCAGGTCCTCAGTGAAAAGAGAGTTCTTGGCTGAGTATTTGCAGCTCAGCTCAAACCCTTCTGTGCTGCTAGAGAGAGCTTAGGAGTGTCTCTTTCATTGAAAATCCAGTTCAGGTCTTACCTATATAACCTGTGGGAACATACATGAAAAAGAGTTGGGACTGGAGTCAGTAACTCCCTTGGCATGAAGTCTAAACTCTTTTCTATTTCCAACAAGTTTTCTGTGAATTGTTTGTATTTCAGAAGTAGCAAGGGGATGAAATAAATAGCAATTTAAATACATTATTGAATTTTTGACTGTTTTATTTGTCTGTCTGTCAACAACATTCATATTAGGAGAGAGGTTTCAAAATTGATGGTGACAATTATTGCTTGACTTGTAGATCTCTGAGCATGGCTTTTCTATCTTCTTGGGTTCTCCGTCTGCAAAATATAGCTATTTTCTGCTTCACAGAATGTTAAAGATGAATACCTTAATATTATCGAAGTAGTGATCTGCTGCATTCATTTGGGTATGGCTACTTGAATTTAAAAGTTCCACTCTACAAGGTCTCATGGTCATAATGATCCTTGATATTTAGTGGCATGAGAGTCATAAACAAAAATTTGGTTTTAGCTGAACATTGTGTACAACTAGATTCAGAAATTGCAAGGCCAGAAAATGGAATTAAGTTTCACTCCAACACAGGTTTCCTGGACAGAAATCTGCAATTCCATTGTGTTAAGATCCTTCTTGACAGACAGCTCAAGAGGGCAAATCTACATTGTTCCTTTGATAGCATGTTTCTAAGCAGCTGCCAACAGGGAGCTCTGGATAACATAACGTGTGCCTCACCAGTGATATAAGATTTTACTGCAGTAAAAACAGTAACCAAAAAGTCCTACAGGACTAGAAATGGGTCAAATTGTAATTCCCTTTTCTGGCATGCAAATAGAACAGCACACCCTCTTTAAAACATGGTGATTCATATGCCTTAAACAGCAGCCTGTGCAGCTGAGTATCAGTTTATACTCATAGTCTGTATGATTTGGGGAACTACCAAACCCGCTTACCTCTTACACCTACAATACCTGATGAGAGAATGAGGGACACTGGACATTACTTCTCTTTTTTTCTGAAGTGCATATTTTGCATTCTCTTTTGCAAAAGCATTTCCAAGGCAAAGACAAGTAGAGTTTTTGTGAGAATCTGTAAATCTTCTTGGAAGGACTGATAAGGAGCCTTTCTGTCAGACTCAGTAGGACTGGGGGGCCCTATGCTCGTAAGTCTTTTGAATGTGGGGCTCAAGTGCTTTTCAGAATGCTAACCTACACCAGGATTTGGACTGTCCAAAACAGAGTTTAAGGATGGAGCTCTCTACCCTTCTACTCAGCTCTCGTGAGACCCCACCTAGAATACTGTGTTCAGCTCTGGAGTCCCCAGCATAAGAAGGACATGGAGCTACTGGAACGAGTCCAGAGGAGGGCCACGAAGATGATTCGAGGGCTGGAGCACCTCTGCTATGAAGATAGGCTGAGAGAGTTGAGTCTGTTCAGCCTGGAGAAGAGAAGGCTCCGGGGTGATCTTCTAGAAGCTTTCCAGTACCTAAAGGGGGCCTACGGGAAAGCTGGAGAGGGATTTTTTACAAGGGCGTGTAGTGATAGGACAAGGGGCAATGGATTTAACTGAAAGAGGGCAGATTTTCATTAGAGATAAGGAAGACGTTTTTTACATTGAGGGTGGTGAGGCAGTGGAACAGGTTGCCCAGAGAAGTTGTGGATGCCCCATCCCTCGAAGTGTTCAAGGCCAGGCTAGATGAGGCTCTGGGCAACCTGGTGTAGTGGAGGATTTCTCTGCCCATGGCATGGGGGTTTGGAACCAGATGATCTTTGAGGTCCCTTCCAACCCTAACCATTCCATGATTCTATGATGGGATATGGTCCAAGAGTTCCAAAATGTTCTGTCTGGAGAACTGTGAGCTATTCTCTTACTTTACCTGTGCATTTCTGTTAAAAACTCTCATGTCATCAAAGAAGCGATTCTACTGGGCAGAGCCTCAAACCTGAGCAGGTATGAACTGGGTGTTCCTAGAGTCCAGAGCAGACTTAAATTTAATTGCTTGGGCAATGCAGTGCTCTTCAGGCTGCTGATTCCTGGTTGCTATCTTGTACTGTAGTCTTTGAGAGCAAGTAATTGTAATGCTGTGAACAAAGCAGACCGACTGCAGTCATTTGCATGGTGAATTTCACCTTACTCTGCTAAGTAAGAAACAAAGCCAATACTATTGCTTGTATTTATGTTTCCTTTGAGAACATATGTTTTTCTTTGAGGCTTCTGACAAGCTGCCATTTTGATGTTTGGCATCAGAGTTTGCAACTTTGATCAGGAAACTAATTTCAGCACAAGTTTTCATTATTCTTGATCTGACCAGAAAAGATAAATCTATCACATCTGTATTAAAACACTGATATATCCTAGTTCTTGTTAAATAGTCTATTTCCTACATAGTCTTTCTTTTAAAATAAGAAATCTTGTTGAAATATTTCAATCAGAAGAGAAACCAGGAAGCAATGAACTTCTAAATACACCAGTGACTCATTTAAGCTAGTATATGGTGAAACAGGTAGACAGTGTGTTTGCAGAATGGAAAACACTGTCATAAAACCATAACTGTATTTGCCAGTTGCAGTTAACTTGCCATTGTGTAGTCTCAAGTAAATGCCATATTTAAGAAGATAATTAATGGAACCATAAGTCACACTAATTAGGTTTTACATACAAGACTGATTTGTAAAGCTTTCCTAATAAACAAGGCTTTGCTCTCCTTATGAATTCGGTGGTGTGGTTTTTTTCTGTTTGATTTCATTTTTAGCAGATGCTTGTCAGGGAAGGAGTTTCCCTTTATGAGAAGCAATTGCATAGATCAGTACATGTGACATGTATCTTTTTAACATGTTAATCTATTTCTAATGCTTGTTATACTCAGTTCTGTTTAATTATTGTGGTACTCGCACTCCAGGTAATGTTACCATTTTTCCTCGTGATTAATGTGGCTACACTGTGGGGTTTTTTTAAAAGTCTGTTTTAATTTTTCTGGTTTGGGAATATTTTGTACTGAGAAACAGATTACATATCAGTATACAACAGATGAAAGAGGGATTTCATGTGGTTTTCTAATGGCTTCGAAAGTGGAAAATCCCACAAGTATAGACTCCAGAGAGAATACTGCTGGTGTTTATCAAAACCAGAGGAATACAGAAAATTGTAGGTGACTCATAGATGTTAACTGACAAGGAGACTTTTAAAGTGGCAAAATAATCTGTCGTCCAGTATGAAAATAAGGTAAGCATGCTAATTTTAAGTCTTAAGAGAGTAATTATGCAATGCTGAACTCAAGGACCTTGTGTCTGCAATGTGTTCTGTAGGGCCTGGTACTGCAAAGCTCAGAGCTACTTCAGCTTCCATTGATTTCAGTCAGAATTGACAGTACTCAGACACCAATTGCATTTCTTTCCACAGCAAGGGAAGACAGATCGTGGGTCAGATTTTTAGTCTTTTATTGTGTTGAATAGCACCCTTCAGAAGTATTTTCACTAAAATCAGTGTGGAATGGGTTACTGACCATCAACTGCTGAGAAGCTAGTCCTTTCTTTTTAAAGCTGGGGTATAAATAATCTGAAAAATGTCAGATGCTTTTTATTTCCTCACGGAACTGCTTTTCTCTGGTTCTCTTCAGGGGTTTTGTTTGTTTGTTCTTTAAAACCTGCGATCATCTTATAAGCAAAGTGATACTGGTCTTTATTGCTTTTGGCAGTGTAATCGAAGTATTTTCTATCTGTACATCTGGTTATGTTCTGCTCTGTACTGTAGCATTTTGCAACAGACATTGTTGGTTCCTCTGCAACAAAGCAGCAGCACACCTTGCACTTACTTGATCAAAAGCTGAAGGGTTTTGTAGGATGCTGTCATCAGGGCTATGCATTTTTTCTGACTCGTATACACAGGTTCTTTAATAGTAATATTATAAGCATTTCTGATTTTTAGTTCTGAACTGTTTTAGAGAAATACTGATGTGTGTATTAATAAATTTTAAGTGTTAAAGATGACTAAACGATGACTGTGCCTGCTAATTAGGGTAAAGATTTTGAAATATACTCTGCTCTGGATCTTAGCAGACAACTGTGTCTTAAACAAATGTGTGAGAAGAAGAAAAGCAATCCGGAAAAAGCAGCTCTTATAGTTAGTAGCATTTTCTCCCCTTTTCCCTTTCATTGAGTCTGTCTGAAAGTGGGTGTTTTAACATACAGCCATTCCTCGTTAACATGTGTGTGTTTATTTTAGCATGATAGTGTTGTTTTTTTCATCTCCCACTCTGACACAGCATGTTTCATCCGTATATGGTTTCTACTATATGAGACATTTAAAATGGCTCAGTGAAGAAATGGATTCTTGTCACTTAAACAGTCACTCTCCAGATCTGTGGAAACTCGGTCATTTTAACAGTGTTTTAAATTCCATATGCTAGAAGATTGGCTATAAAAATTGAGAGTGATATAATGTCAAGAATTTAAAGGTACTCTGTAGTACCTGTAATAACTTATGTTAATCATGTTTTAATTTAGTCATTCTCGACATACTTGTATTTACAAATTAAACCACTATTATGGTTCTCCTTTGTTTGCATGATATGATTTTATTTTATATTTTTTTTTCCACTCACCAGATGTTTTCAACACTTTGCTTCCCACTACTGTCATCCCCTCCCTTACCACTGCAACAGTCACAACCACTGTAGCCTTAACCACCAGCACAACCACATCGGCAACAGCCATCGGCACCAGAGGTACAGTATGCTTCTTTGTTACGGCCTGAAAAACACATTATAAATAGGAAATTATAGGGTTTATTTTTAAGAAGGATAGAAATTGCTAAAGAGAGGGTTCAAACGCTCCAGTTCAATATATAGATTTAATAGAATAATCCACAGGATGGTACATGGTTAAGAAAGATTTCGTATGACCTTGACTATTTTTATTGCTCTAGCAGTGTGTATGTGAACTTTGACAGGATGCTTAAATTATTGTATACATTTGCATTTAATTTTTTTAAGGTTAGTAAATTAACTTTAATGTAAAATGCAAGCAAGCTATTTTTAAATAAACATGACCTTTTAAGACTGGTTATTTGGAGTGCTAATGTTTAAAACAAGATAGGTGTCTCGATGTAATCTTGCTTGATAACAAAGAGGCATCGCATTACATCACCTTTGTTAGTCTTTTACAATTTAAGGTGTTTGGAACTTAGGGGTGTCTTTATCTCACCAGAACTAGAGTAAATGAGCAAAAATTCCCCTTCCTGCTCCCCACCCCCTATCATGTTGGGTTTTTGTCTGTTATAGCTTTTTAAATGTTTCTAGTAATGCTTTGCCTTGTTATGAACAAAATATAAAGCTTAATTTTACTGTTGTACTCGGTGACTGATCAGATACCCACTCAATAGTGAACATGTGTGTAAGGTTTCACAGATTATCATCTTCTGGGTAGCTAGTAGTCTCTCACGGTGAACGAAATGGCAAATGGTGCCTATGTGATCTGTTGAAGGCTTTAATTGTGCAAGGAGAGGGGAAATGATATTCACTTATCACACTGCAAGTATTCACATGATAAGGTATAATTATCCCAGGAAAGTTAAGACAGAGTTATGAACTCTGCTTCTTTCTGGAAGCATTGTTACAACTCAGTTGTAGTGACCTGCTTAATTTGCAAGAGTAAGCTGAGCTAAATGCAAGGCCATTGTATAATGGTTGTAATACTATCAGATCACCCAGCTTCTTCCTCTATAGGGCGTTGGTATTTTAATATTGTGGCCTTCATGTAATAAATACTGATATCAAACCTGAAATTACGTTTTAAGCTTTAATATTACTTATAGTGTGAAAAAAAAGTATTACTTATATATAGTGTGAAAAAGAGAAAGAGCGTTATAGTCCTTACCCCCATTAAAAAAAAAAAAAGGATAGACTATGGAAAACAGTCCACTGCTCACGGGTCTGAGTAGTTGCAAGGAACATTTCCTGAAAAGGAACGGAATGACAGGAGTGATCATGTCTGTATACAAGAGTGTTTTGACTCAAGCAGCAGAATCTTCCTAGCTTTCTGAAGGCTTGGATACTGGAAGGACAAAGTGCTTGGTGTGCCATATTGGTGTTTGCTGGTTTTACTGAATTGTTTTCTTCTTGTTGTTATCTGGTCATGACTAAACCATATCACTGACGTGATTGTATATTTCATGTACTGATGTTAATAAGGCATTCCGTTACCTCCTCAGTGTGGTTTAGGACCTCATTTTCCTTTACTCTGAAGTGTTCATTTTCAACATTTATGTGCCTGGCATCAAGAAAAAGATTGATAAAAGGAGAACTCTCTTTTAAGTTTCAGCTCTAATACCTATGAGAAAGCTGGAGAGGGACTTCTTATAAGGGTATGTAGTGATAGGACAAGGGGCAATGGCTTTAAACTGAAAGAGAGGAGATTTAAATTAGAGATAAAGAAGAAATTTTTTACATTGAGGGTGGTGAGGCAGTGGAACAGGTTGCCCAGAGAAGTTGTGGATGCCCCGTCCCTGGAAGTGTTCAAGGCCAGGCTAGATGAGGCTTTGAGCAACCTGATCTAGTGGAAGCTGTCCCTGCCCATGACAGCGGGGTTGGAACTAGATGATCTTTGAGCTTCCTTCCAACCCAAACCATTCTATGATTCTATGAGAATGCATGCGATTTGATGCTATGGTAACAAAGAGATACTGCTTTAAGGGAAAGTAAAAGAAGGAAATTTGGGTGAAGGTGATTGATCACTAAAACATGAACATTCACTTTTCCTAGAAAAATAAGTGAATGCAGCAAAATGGCTGAGAAGATGAGACCACTTCAACCTCAAGGAACTGGTAGATACAGTCTCTTGGGCAGATAATCTAAGAGACAAAGGAGTGTGGAAAGACTGTTTCTTGACAATCTTGTATTGAAAGGAAAATGATAGTCTATCCCAATGCAAAGGAAAAATAGGACACATATAATAGAATAATGAATTTGTCCATCTAACAATCTAAGAAATCAAAAACATCAAAAATATGAAAATAAGAGAAGATTGCTATAAACATAAGTCATAGAGTGTATCAGTGTGGAAACAGGAAACCAGGCGTAAAATCAGAAACAACCAGATGCAAAAGTAATTGCAACTAGCAAGGTGTGAGAAATTTAACAAAACAAAAGCGTTTAGAAATACATTAGATGAAAGAAAGAAAGAAAAAAATGTAGTGATCATAATCATGAATGATTAAGACAAGGCTGAAATAATTGCTACTTTATCCAGCAATGGATGACAAATGGAGTGCTGCTTCTAATAGGGGTGTCACAGTGAAAGGTGACCATAAATACAGACAGATCAAAAAACAACAAGGACAGGAAGTTTAAAGATATGCTCTGCGAGGAATCTGAAGGCACCAGTATGTTTGGTTTTGCTTTTCAAAAAGGCAAGTGAGTAGGACTCTGATGAAGAGTTATTTTCCAGGTTCAATGGGGAAAATGAATCTACTGAATTAGTGGCAAAAGCATTTAGTGGGGAAGCTTTCTAAATGCATGGGAGGCAATGACACAGTGCAGCTATTGAACTTCCTTCGAAATTCCTACAAACTTCCTTTGTCCTTGCTGTCTTTGATAATGCTTGACTCTCATAGCAGAAGAAAATGGAGAAGATGCTCTCCTTAGTTCTCTTCTTCCCCTACATTTCTTGGATCCACAAACAAATAACGTTCACAAACTTACAGTGAATGTTGTCAAGGCAGAGTTCTGCCATCCTGAAATACTAGACTGAACCTTATCTAGATTGTCAGAGCACCTACACACCAGAGCTACAAGCTGCATAAGACCCATTTTGGAGAGATTTTCAGTAGGATCTGTTTCTGGCTGAGCAAAACTACCATATAACACATTTTCCTTTGACAGTTCTGCTTCTTATTCCAGTAAGATTTTTGACATGAAGCAGTATATAAGGACATAAAGTTGAGAAGGTATTCATATATTTGCAACCTTCAAAACAATTCTTTTTGTTGTGTTTTGGCTTCCAGGTACATTGGAAGAAACATTTATCTTTATCTTACTTTGTCAGATCTTGTTTGATCATTCCTAAAGAAATAGAAGTTTGCCCCTGATCATAGGGTAGTACATACTAATTAATGATATCTTTGAACTGGATTTCCAATAGCTGACGTAATAGTTTTGCTGGATGGATTTCACTAATTCCATTCTAAAATTATGATGCTTAATACTTATGAATCACCTCAGGTAAATTTTACAAGACATTATTCTATTCTGCATGACTTTTACATAGACCACTTTGAGGATATGTTACTCCACATTCAGTTGCAACGGATGTCTTTACAGGAATATGGTACACGGTATAAAGAGCCCAGAGAGTCTGTAAATCTAAGGCATTTTACATTATGATTGCACCTCATCATTACCAGAAGCCTGAATTAATGGGAAAAAAAATCTCCAAACCATCATCAGTTAATTCTGGAAGTGTGTGACCCATCTCTGTCTTAATTTGCATGGCATTTAGTAAACAACATGAAAAAAAGCTACTGATCCAGTTGGATGATAGCATGATAAATCGTAAACATCCTGTTTAGTCAAACTTTTCACTTTCTCAGACAAATGTATGCTTGCTTTTGTGCTCAGTCCTTCAGGAATTAATTATTCTTTTACTGGTACATTACCTACTAACTCAAAAAATCTAAACACAATTTGATGCCAGTGAAGAGTATTGCCCTTTATGTATTTGTCAAGGGTATCTTCAAGACCAATAACCATGATGAGGAATGTACGACAAAATGAGAATAAAATGTATGAGAAGAAACAATTCTAGAGGACTATGGAAAGAATAATTATACACTGTATGAGTCGTTTCCTTCTGTCAGATTTATGTAGTGTTATTCGTGAAAGCTATGCGTGAATCCATGCTAGTGTTCCCTTTTGTGACTGGGAAGTGGCACAAGAGGATTGTGGATTTGCCCACAGTAGTGAAACAAGGGATGCCTCCCTTGGAGAAATTATTTGTTAGCATAAAGTTAATTTAGATGGTTCTGTGCCAATCCTTCAAAGTCCTGTAGGGGTGGAAAGGGAGTGTGATTAACAGTCTAGGAGAAGCCACCTCAAGTCACAACAGCTCTATGTTTCTGGATTCACAGAGGAGAAAAGCTTATGCACACAAATATACATAAAACCCTCTCACAGGCTGGCATTATGTTAATCACCCACACATGCACACCCTGCGATTTTTTAAATTTAAATCCTTTGCTTGTCAAAAAAATAAAAAAAGTCCGAGAGGTTATAGAACTTGGCAATTTTGACTTATTATTCAAGATTGAAATCTCACAACTACCCCCCAAACAGGTACAAAGGTAACATTTCAAGAGGATCCGAACTCAAAAGATAGATCCATTCAGTTCGATTGCATGTATCAGAGTGATTCAGTCTCAGCTGACTCACTTGTATAATGACTGTGCCAGAATGTTCCAAGCTTTATATAGCAACGCCTAAAAACATCTCCAAAAGTCATTACGTATAGCAGAGATATGATGCTGCTCCCAGGCAGCTGCACTATGAAGTTCAAGAGTTTATTTAGTAGTCAGGGTGACCGCAAAGGGAACGAATGTACACATTTATATATGAATGAAACCGCTGCTTTGTTATAATCCACTTTGCTTTTATCATTTTTGACTTTGGTATAAAAGAAAGATTTCTTAAAGGAGATCTGTGGAACTAAATTTAGAAGAAGAGTTTACAGTGGA